CTGTGACCCTTCTAAAGGGGCTGTATGTGGTTGTTACTCTGATCTGCCGCAGGTCTGGATTTGAGGGAGCATTTGGTGGCAAAATAGCCTTGCCCACCACAGTATAGGTAAAGGCTGTTATGTTGCTGATACTCCTTTTCCCAGTCCATGAGGTGTCTTTGCATCACTTTGATCTTCACAGGCTGTCACACTGGGACTGGCTGTGGTAGTGGCTGGAATGGGACCAGACTACACTGGGGTAGAACATGGCACTGTTTTTTTCCTTTGGCACTATTTGAACAGTTGGTTCTCAATCTGTATGCATAGTTCAGTATCTGAGTTCAGCACCATAGGGGTCTGGGGGGGGGGCGGGGGGCGGTCTACTCAGCCCAACTCATTTTTATGTCATCTATTAGACCCTGACAGGAATGATAGATCTGTGCCTCCTTGTTTATTGCATGTCAGTGAGCAAACGTTGAATATGGGTGGCATATGCCAAGATGGATCAACACCTTGTTTAAGAAACTGCAAGGCAGCTTTGGCGGTATGAGCATGATTTGGGCCGTCGAATATGAGTGAGAAGGCATGGAGGAACTTGTCAAAATTGCCAAGGACCTGGCTTGACTGTTCTAGGAGAGGCAAGGTGCAGTCTAGAGCTTCATAGAATCATATCAATATCAGGGTTGGAATGGACCTCAGGAGGTCATCTAGTCCAACCCCCTGCTCAAAGCAGGACCAATCCCCAATTTTTGCCCCAGATCCCTAAATGGCCCCCTCAAGGATTGAACTCACAACCCTGGGTTTAGCAGGCCAATGCTCAAACCACTGAGCTATTCCTTCCCCCCCCCATTCACCAGTCAATAAACTGATAACAAGCCCCACTTTGCCCTGATCAGTGGGTTACATCTCAGTGCACATCAGAAAAAACAGATGGCATTGGTTGAGGAACCTGCAGAACTTCTGGTGGTTCCCATCCAACTTCCCTGGTGGCAGGACCTTCAGGCCTTGTTCTAAAGGTACTGCATCTGGCTGCACTGGGGGTACTGAGGTTGTCGGGATCTGTGAGCAGAGAGGGTGTTGACTCTGGAGGCACTGAATTAACTCCAACATTTCAGTAGCAGGTGTGACAGAGGCTTCCATCTCAGCAAGCATGAAAAGGGCAGTTTGGTGAAATGGTCAGAGTGGCCAGGTGAGGCAGAAGCAGATGAAAGCTGGAATAGGGTCTGGCTGGACTGGGAACAGACATGGGCAGGAGCAAAGGTAGTCTGTTGAAACTACTGGCAGGGGGAGTGTTCCTGGCCCGTTAGTGACGAGCATACTGGAGAGACTGTGTCCCTCAGGAGCCTATATACCTGCCTTGGGATCACAAGGATGGAACCTCACCTGTGGATTGGCTGAACCCTGCGGGTAATTGATGACTCATTGCATTTGAGAAGGCTCAGGCTCAGAGGTAACTCAGCGATGAGTCATGATGGCCGTGAGACCCTGAGCCAACACAGAAGGATTGTCTTCTGTATAGATACTGACGTCACTTAATACAAATCTGGATAATGCACAAAACAAGCAATTTGTAGTCCAATGTTTACCTTGGTCAATTAAAATATACAGCAACATATTCTTATATTATTACAGTGATCCAAAGCTGGATGCTTGCATAACAAAAGCATAGAAAAGGACAAAGGGCTGGAGTGTGCATGGGTAGAAGAAGTAGCTGAAAGAAGCAATTTACCCAAGAAGTGATTGTAATTTTCATTTGGACTCCTATTTGCCCTTATCACCTTTATTTTCTACTTGTTCTTCCATGATCTTGGTATAGTGGCATTGTATGATGCATTCCCCATGTGGCTGGAGGCAGAAGCCAGTCTCATTCTTTGAATTGGTCACTGTCATGCGGCAAAGTGAGGTAAACTTATTTCTGTTTTTCACTTCTGTCTGTTTTGCAGGATGACTTTCAAATGTGGTGCTTTTATCTTGGATGTGATGTTTTTTTGAGAATATCATGCCGAAGGTGTAGCAAAAGAGAAATTTAACTAATAGGCAAACCATAAAGAGTTCAGATTTGTTTCCAGGCACAGTGATTTATTGGTTATTTTTCATTTGTTTCAGCATTATATTGTTTTGATAATCTTGGCAGGGATCTGTCACTCTATGTAGGTATAATTGAAACTTGTTTCCCCTGAGGAATCACTCTGCCATTTGGTTGATTTGTTTACTGACATTGACAGAGATCTTAATGGCTTTTAAAACTCAATTTGTGCATCACTGAATATGCACCAAAAGGAAAATAAGATTAATGTATTAGTAAAGTGAGGTTCTCTTTGCAGTGCTTTGGCTGTGTCATAAAGTCTCTACCTGAGCAAGTCACTGTAGGCTCAGGAATTGTATGAGAACCCTATGCAATCTACATCTTCATTTTGTTGTTGTTTTTTATGTTCAGGGCTTTGACTACAGATTCTCTAAAAGGTAGAATATAAAGAGTGGTTTTTAGCCTCCAGAGCTGTTTGACCACCTTTTCCATTGTGTTTTGTCTTCAGCTCAGGCCAAACTGAGGCTGATATATAGATGTAATCAGTGAAATATCTCTTTGGGAGGGATCTTCAGCATTATAGCATTTAACAGGACCAAACACTATAGTAGTTACTATTGATTATTACAAAACATCTAATTCTATAAATTCATGCTGCACATTACAAACGTGAACCCCACTTCAGCAATGGTATTTAAATATTTGCCTGTTTTAAGCATATGAATAGTCTTTTTGAAGTCAATGGGACTACCCACAACATCTGGGCAGGAAATGGTTTTCCTATCCATTGAAAATTTTCAAGGTTTCAAAAATGTTCCCATTCCGCATTGGGGTGAAACTAAGACCTTATGAAATTTTATGTTAAAAACCATAGAGCATGCCCAGAATAGCCCCATGGGCAGGGCACTCACCTGGAAGTGGGAGACCTGGATTTGAGTCCCTGCTCTGCCTGTTGAGGACAAGGGACTTAAACCTGGGTCACCCACATTCCAGGTGAGTGCCCTGACCATCAGGCTGTCTGAGGTGGGCTAGTCTCTTGCTCTCATTTTGCCCAGAAATCTCATCCTAAACCTGAGAGAGCTTCCCAACAATACTTTTGGTGAAATGGACCAAAAAAAGTTTTGGTTTAGAGAAATTTGCATTTTTCAATGAAACACTATCTCATTGTGAAATTTGCAACCAGCTCTACTACTAATATACTTAAGTACTTTGCTGAATTGGGGTTATGGACATAAAGACAGATTGTGTGCTTTGACAAGCATTAAAACAAATGACAAGACACAGGACAGTGAGGGAATTATTAATGAAGAGAAGGAGGCATTTCTTGAAATGTTGATTCAAAGATGAATAGGGTGCTATTTTTAATATCCCAAAAGGTATGGGCTCAGTTCTTCAAGATATTGTCCACACAGATTCTGCTCTTGGTGCACATGAGCATAAGATTGGATTATTTTCAACAGCAGTGTCTGTTGGGGGCTATGCCTGTGCTCTCAGTGTCGTCTTGCTCCACATAACAGTGCGCATAAAGAACAGGGCAGCCATAATCTTCACTCAGTTCCTTCTTACCTCCCATGGCTGCAAGGTGGAGCCCTGAAGCCCTTAACCACATTCCACAGCAAGTGAAATGAGACTTCACATGTTGGATGCTGTGAGAGCATTATCCTTTTACTTGAATAGGACCAATCCATTCAGGTGTACACCTGGACACTTCATTATATTTGCTGGAAGGGATAAGGGGCAGCCTGTGTCTTCATAGAGATGAAGTGGGTCTTGGACTGTGTCAGGAGTTGCTCTGTTATGGCTAGGAAAGAGCCACCTGGACAGATTAGAATTCATTCCACCAGAGTTCAGGTGACTGGCCTCCACAGCCTGCTTGGGTAGCATCCCCACAGCAGAGATATGTAGATCAGCAATGTGAAGTTTTATCCAGGCCTTTACTACTCATTATTCTCTGGTACTACTCATTATTCTCAGAGCCGTTGCTAGTTCAGTTAGGTATCCTACAGTCACTCTTGAAATGGGCCTCTGCTTACCAGCCTCCTAGCACTGGTTTAACAGCTTGTTAGTCACCAAGAGTAGAAACTGTGTGGACAATCCTCTCAAAGAAGAAAGAATTATTTACCTTGCAGTAACTATGATTCTTCCAGATGGGTTTTCCACAGAGATTCTGAATCTTGCCTTTCATCCCCACTGATAGGTGTCCTGCTCGTGGGGGATTCTTATTAGCAAAGGACCTGAGTGCAGGTTCTGGCTGCCCTGCCCTTTATGCTCTCATCTATGGGAAGTGAGAGGGAACTCCAGGGCAGGCACGGCCTCCACAGACACTGCTGTGTTGAATGCATGGGGCACATGTGCACCAAAGTGAAATATGTATGGAGAGTCACAGTTATTGCAAGGTAAGTAACCATTCTTTCCTTTTTTGGGTGAAGGTTCAGAAAGACTATTTTATCAGAATCTATTAGTAACTCCCTTATTATTATTCTTTGAAACACATTCTTATCATTCAGGCAGAGGGAGTTTGCCACTAATTTCTCTGATTTGTGAACATCACAAAGAAATGTGTTTTGAGAATTTTGCTGATTTTGTAAGCTGTCTGTCAGTTTGCACGTACATAACTGAGATCCAAACTGATGCTGACCTCAAATCGGAACTATAGCATAATATCATCTTGCCGTTGTTACTGTATCCCTCTTCAGTAGAGCTTACTGATTTTGGTACCACAATATTAGAGTTACATTACTTATATTGCCTTTTTTATCCATGGATTGTAACATGCTTTATAACAGTGGCTAAGCAGCGCTATCCTCCGTTTTACTGCTGGCAAAATTGAGGGAGAGGTAGGTTATGGATTTGCCCAGAGTCACACAGTAAGCCAGTGGTAAAGTCAGTGATAGAAACCATATAGTCTTATTCCCACTTGCGTGCTCTAATTGCCCAATTAAATAGCATATATCTTGATGATACTTATTTAACTGACCTTTCTATTGTGTTGTAGTGCCAAGAACAAGGATTTTGGCCACTGGTGGAGCATCATATAATAAAGAGATCTTACAGGTAAGTGCAGACTGCTGAGTTTGTTAAGAAAATTACATTGCACTGGATATTAACAGCTTTGGCAGTAGAGTTTTATATTCGTGTGCTGAGTCTGCCGCCTCTATAGCTGCACATAAGATTGAGAGTATTTGAGATTTTAAGAGTTGTTCAAATTTTGAGATATTGTGTGGAGTATATTAACAAAATTATAATAATTTCTCCACGTTTTACAGGTTAATCCAATGCTAATTTCAAGTTGAGTTCTCTGAAGAGTATTTACAACTTACTAGTTTTGTGAAAATATCTGAAATGGTGATGATCTCCAAGTCTCATAACTTAAGTCACATCATTTCAGCAACCAAACCAAAGAGTTGTTGGTAAGAGTGCATTTAAAGTGAGATTTTAAAAAATGTTCAACGTTGGACCATTTATGTCAATGAGAGCAAAGTTAGGCCAATGCTGAACACTTTTGAAAATCTCAGCTGTAATGCCTATGGGAGTGCTGGAGGCGGAAGTCCTCTATTCACCCACAGGACACATACAGCATAGGCAGTATCAGTGCAATCTACAGCATACTGCCCCACCAATATACCTCAGTCGCATTGTGAAGGGACAACCTCTAGGTGATAAAGTAGTTTAGTCTCCCTGGCCCGTTTAGTCATCAACCTCTCTCCTGAGATTGATCGTTAGTGCTAGTTGTGGTGGTGGTATTTGTGACAAGGACAGTTGTCCAGTAGGAAGTGGACTGATCTTGCTAATTTATTTCACACTAACACCAGAACAGCTTTGAGAGTACAAAGGTCTTTGACAAAATGACTTACCAGCCAATGTGCCGCCTTGTGGTTTGGTGCGACAGTGTTAGGGTTTTCCTCACTGTCGTCTCGGTGACACACCATTGGGGTCTGCTGGGTGCCACTTTTGTCTTGTGACTCAACTCTCTGGCCAGGCCATGGTTTAGTCTCACCACTTTCGAGGTAAGTGAGAGTCCTGTCCAGATATAGTCTGGCAACCTTGTGCCAAGGCTCCAGCCTGACTCTAGGCCCACTAGACCTTTTGACCCTTGTCTGGTCACCAGTCCTTTCGCTGGTGGCCTATAGGCCTTTCACCAGTCCTTTCGCTGGTGGCCTATAGGACAACCAAGTCCATCCTTCTATCCTGGGTTTCAGCCTAGGGCCCCTGTACCAGGCTATTGAGATCTGCTTCTTCAGACCTCCTGCTTCTTCCCTGGGCTTCTACCTACTGCAGTCTGCCTCTAGGCCTTCTTCCCCAACCCCTTCCAGGCCTCAGAGGAAAGGTAACAAAGGAAAAGCACAATACAGCAGCAGTCCAAACGTGTCCCTGGCCTCCCTCTTTTCAGTGTCCTCAGAGCTATTGCACAGTGTTTGCAGGAAGCCTCTGCCAGCTTCATCCTCCCTTCCTGGGAGCCAGTGAAGAGAGGTCTCTCTACCTCCCAGGGCTGGGACCTTCTGAACTGGGCTCCTGCAAGATGAGCATGCCTCTCAGGGGTGGTAAGGCAAGGCTGCCTGAGCCCAAAGTTGTTGTATAGGCAGTTTTGCCTGGTGTGGTGTTTGTACACCCCATCACAGACTTGGTCATTACGGAATTGATCCAGATTTGAGCTCATGACTTAGAAGTGAAAGGCTCTATATTTCCCAAGTCATCCAGAATCCCTTTTCTCAGTTTTGTATGACAATAGTGTTTAAAGTGGATTGGGACAAGAGAAAAAATTGACACATGTTGCTTGTTGCTGTTATTTCTCTTTGTCTGTTGTATCTGCTCTGGTTATTGTAGTCGATAACTTGACATAAGGAAGATTAAAAACTAGGCCAGATTGATCTGTGCTTGTGTAATTCCACTAAGGCAACACCAGGGTTGAACTTGGGCCAGTACATTTAGTGGGAGTGAAACCTTAATTTCTAAAGCTATATATATGCCCTAGAGCCATTTGTAGAACCTCCTCACTGTTATATCTAGGCAAGGAGCTGGATGTTTTTCACAATACATTTATACACAGTGAAACAAACTTAGAGAGGGGGAATAAAGTTACAGAACTTGCTGTTTAAGTATAATAAAGCTGCTGTTAAAACTTTTTAGAAGTGTCTTAAAATAATATGATCAATATAGTGCCATTACTTTAATTTAATCACTGGTTAATTGTATTCTTTAAAATTTAATCAAAACCTTGGGAAACAAAGTGTTTTCAAGTTATTGTCATCGCTTTTGGATAATTCATTCTGGGGCTATAGAAAGCTGCCACTTAATAAACTGTATTCACAATCCCTCATTTTGTACATACCAAAGGTTATTTTAAACACTCAGGAATATCTGTGAAGAACATCAGAATGGCCATACTGGGTCACACCAGGGGTTTATCTATCCCAGTATCCTGTCTTCTGGCAGTGGCCAATGCCAGATGCTTCAAAGAGAATGAACAGAACCAGGCAATCCTCAAGTGATCCATCCCTTGTCGTCCAGTCCCACCATCTGGAAGTTAGAGGTCTAGGGACAGAGCATGGGATTGCATCCCTGACCATCTTGGCTAATAGCCATTGATGGACCTATCCTCCATGAATTTACCTAATTCTTTTTTGAATTCAGAAACAATTTTGGGCTTCACAACATCCCCTGGCAATGAGTTCCATGTAGGGTGACCAGACAGCAAGTGTGAAAAATCGGGACGGGCGTGGGGGTGGGGGTAATAGGCACCTATATAAGAAAAAGCCCCAAATATCGGGACTGTCCCTGTAAAATAGGAAAATCTGGTCACCTTCCACGGGTTGACTGTTCGTTTTGTTTTAAGCCTGCTGCCTATTAATTTCATTGGGTGACCCCCTGGTTCTTGTGTTATGTGAAGGAATAAATTAACATTTCCTTATTCACTTTCTGCACACCATTCATGGTATAATAACCTCTATCATATCCCCCCTTTGTTATCTCTTTTACAAACTGAATAGTCTTAGTTTTTTAATCTCTCTTCATATGGAAGCTGTTCCATACCCCTAATAATTTCTGTTGCCCTTTTTCTGTAACTTTTTTTTTTTTTTGCAACAGTGTTACTCTGACTCACATTCAGCTTGTGATCCATTATGACCCCAGATCACTTTCCGCAGTACTCCTTCCTAGACAGTCATTTTTCATTATGTATGTGTGCAACTGATTGTTCCTTCTTAAGTGGGGTACTTTGCATTTGCCCTTATTGAGGGACCCCATTCATTATGCCCTTCCAGCATGACTGTGAACCACAGATAACTACTCTCTGGGAATGGTTTTCCACCTAGTTATGCACCTACCTTATAGTAGCTTCATCTAGGTTGTATTTCCCTAGTTTGTTATGAGAAGGTCATGTGAGACAGTATCAAAATCCTTATTAAAGTCAAGATTCACCACGTCTGCCGCCCCCCCCCCTCCCCAATCCACACTGCTTGTTACCCTGTCAAAGAAAGCTATCAGGTTGGTTTGACACGATTTGTTCTTGACAAATCCATGCTGACTGTTACTTACCACTTTGTCTTCTAGATGTTTGCAAATTGATTGCTTAATTTGTTCCATTATCTTTCTGGGTACAGAAGTTAAGCTGACTGGTCTGTAATTTCCTGGGTTGTCCTTATTTCCCTTTGTATAGATTGGCACTATATTTGCCCTTTTCCAGTCTTCTGGACTCTTTCCTGTCTTCCATGACTTATCTGAGCCATTCATGATTATCTTTGAAATCTTCTCAATCAGCTCCTTGAGTATTCTAGGATGCATTTCATCAGGCCCTGGTGACTTAAAGACATCTAACTTGTCTAAGTAGTTTTTAACTTGTTCTTTTCCTATTTTAGCCTCTGATCCTATCTCATTTTCACTGGCATTCACTATGTTAGACGTCCAATCACCACCAACCTTCTTGGTGAAAACTGAAATAAAGAAGTCACTAAGCACCTCTGCCATTTCCACATTTTCTGTTATTATTTTTCCCTCCTCATTGAGTAACAGGCCTACCTTGTCCTTGGTAGTCTTGTTGCTTCTAATGTATTTGAATGTTTTCTTGTTACCCTTTATATCTCTAGCTAGTTTGATCTTGTTTTGTGCCTTGGCCTTTCTAATTTTGTCCCTACATACTTGTGTTATTTGTTTATATTCATCCTTTGTAATTTGACCTAGTTTCCACTTTTTGTAGGACTCTTTTTTGATTTTTAGATCATTGAAGATCTCCTGGTTAAGCCAGGATGGTCTCTTTCCATACTTCCTATCTTTTCTACACAATGGGATAGTTTACTCTTCTGCCCTTAATAATGTCTCTTTGAAAAACTGCCAACTGTCTTCAGTTGTTTTTCCCCTTAGATTTGCTAGCTCTTCACAGTCTGCTTTGGACTTAAACTATCTGTAGTAATTTAATATCATCTGCAAAATTTGCATTCTCACTGTCTATCCCATTTTGTAGATCATTTATGAATATGCTGAACAGCAGTGGTCCAATACAGATCCCTGGGGGACACTGCTATTTATCTTTCTCCATTCTGAAAATGGACCATTTATTCCTACCCATTGTTTCCTGTCTTTTAACCAGTTACTGATCCATGAGGGGCCCTTCTGTCTTATTCTATGACTGCTTACTTTGCATAAGAGCCATTGGTGAGAGATCTTGTCAAAGGCTTTCTTAAAGTCTCAAGAAAGCCCGGCAACCCGGGAGCATGGAGAGGGCTCACCGCAGAACACACAGCTCCAAACCTCCCCCAGCCATTAAAATTTTTTTAAAGGGGGAGGGATAGCTCAGTGGTTTGAGCATTGGCCTGCTAACCCCAGGGTTGTGAGTTCAATCCTTGAGGGGGCCGTTTGGGATCTGGGGCAAAAATTGGGGATTGGTCCTGCTTTGAGCAGGGGGTTCGACTAGATGACCTCCTGAGGTCCCTTCTAACCCTGATATTCTATGATTCTATGATAAGTACACTATATCCACTGGATCACTCTTGTCTACATGTTTTGACCCCCTCAAAGAATTCTAATAGATTGGTGGGACATGATTTCCCTTTATAGAAGCTGTGTTGACTCTTCCCTGACAAATCATGTTCATCTATGTGTCTAATAATTCTGGTCATTACTATAGTTTCAACCAATTTGCCTGGTACTGAAGTTAGACTTAGATCAGCCTGTAGTTGCCAAGATCACCTCTGGAACCTTTTTTAAAAATTGATGTCACATTAGCTGTCCTCCAGTCATCTGGTACAGAAGCTGATTTAAGTGATAGGTTACAAACCACAGGTCTGAAATTTCATATTTGAGTTCCATCAGAACTCTTGGGTGAATACCATCTGGTGGCTTAGGCCTGCCTAATTATACTTTGACACTTGATTTGCTAGAGTTTATGCCCCTTTCTATTTTCTTGTTTCAAAATATAATCCTTAATGTCTAAACTAGGGAGTTTTTCCTTTTACATCTTTGGCTCTTGATGAATGACTGCATGAAACGTGGTGAAATATTTGTTCTTTATTTTTGACATTGAAAAGTTCTATCGGTTACTTTTGAAGTCACTCATGAGGAAGAAATCACATATTCTAAATGATTTGTTATATATATGAATTTATGAATAAGCTTACATTTGATTACCAAGCCATGGAAAGGATGTCTTGATCAATTTTCCATTTGTCCCCTAAAATAGAGTTTCACGTGATGCTTGATATAGATGGATACTTAGAGATGCTTACTTCACAATGCTACCTGAAGGGAGCACGGCACTGGTTTGGTTTAGATTAAATGTAAAACAAGTTTATTAACAACAGAAGATAGGATTTCAGGTGAGTTCAAGTAAGGGAAAGAGTTAAATATGGGTACAAGCAAATAAAAGTGAAAAACACTTTCAAGTGGCTGAGGCTTAACACCAACAAGCTACAGCCTTTATTCAAGGTAGTTTCCTTACCAATCTACCTTCCAGCAAGATGGCTGACCACCATTCAGGTCAGGATCTTCCACAAAGTCCAAAGTGCTTGGTTCCTTTATCTTGTTAGGTGGAAGATAACTTGGGGCTTTTTCCCCCTCTCTTTTATAGTGCAGTGAACCTTTGCAATCGATTCTTCTGAAGGTTATCCTAAAGCAAAGCTCAGTCAAGCTGTGAGGAAGGGACATAGTCTTGCGGTGAAGGAAGCTTCATGCTGGTTTCCTCTGCTGGTGTTTGCTAAAATGCCAATTAATCTGTTTTTCTGCAGTCTCCTCCCCGTGCCGTGATGCTGAGTGATAATCTCCTCCCCTTGTTGCCTTGATAGTTCTGTTTCTTTTTTGTAAATTGCATTTCCATTGTCTCTTAATGCACCTTGGAAGTACCTTCAAGGTGGCAGAACCACATTCCTTTGTCTAGAGTGGGGTAACTTCAGCCCTGCCCAGCAGACACACTTTAAAAACATAATTCACAATATGTTTGTAATTTTGAATTTGTCATCTGTGCATACACCACACAATACTATTAATGATCAGTATGTTATTAGCTTACTATTGATGTCTTACATTATACCTTTTTAAAGTGAGTTGATGTACACTGAACTGATCTGGCCAGCTGAAACTCACTACAAGATACCACTTAGCCCTCTGTCCTCTTGCATTGGGATACTGTTAGGATCACATGACTCCTATACCACCCTCCCTGTAGACCCCAGAACAAGGGCTATGTTGGGGAGAGAGAGGAGGAGTAGCTGGAATGCTCTGGGCCTCCAGGCTGCTCTAACCGTGGTCATGTCTGAGCAGAGAATTGGGGAGTTGCAGCTGACTCCCTCACTTCTCCCCTCCTTCCTTCTACTTTGCTGAGCATAAACTCGGTGAAGCAGAGAATCTGGCCCCCCATTTCTTGGTTCAGGAGTGAACAGATCTGCCCCTTACAAGTCTTGGGGGATGACTCTGAGAACTTGCTGGAGAGATAATAACCGCATACAGAACCTTTGTAATAAAGGAGTGACAACACTGTAAGAAATGTATCTTTATTTCCTGGCCCCGGTCACCTGACTTGAGTCAAGTTTGCCAAAGGTTAGTACTGTGTCACGTGAAAAGGGTCAGTACACACTGACCCCTGAGGTAACTGGTACAAAGCCTGCACAAACATTTTGCTATCATGTGCAGGAACCATTTGCTTGCCTCAGCAATTATAAGGAATTACTTATTTGCCCTGTGTTTCACAGTCATATGTAACAGATGCTTTTATACTTCCCAGGTCCTGTCTGATGTGTTTAGCGCACCAGTGTATACTATTGACACCGCCAACTCTGCTTGTTTAGGATGTGCTTACAGAGCAATTCATGGTAAGGCTGTAAAGAAAAGTCCTTTGGTCTACCTGAACATTTAATTTTCATGCACCCAATACCCATGATTAAAGTTTCTGAAAAAAAGTGCAGGGTATATAAAGCATAGTGGACCAGATCCATAGCCCACTGAAGTTAAAGGGAGTATTTCCACTGACATCAGTGGGTTTTGGATCATGCCCAATAAGAATAAAAGTGAATTTTTAGGGTTTCACTCACTCTCACTTCTTGCAGCAGAATTTAGGCTTGGGCTCCCAGTGGCAGATTGTCTGCCTAGAGGGTAACGTAGGGTACAGCAGCACAATCTACAGCAACCTCCTCTCAGACAGGAGTGGGACCTGGACAGATGGCAGGTACATCTCTAGAAGTGGATGAGGTTTGCTGGGAAGGGTGTGCAGCTTTGATGCGCTGATCCTCCACCAACAGATACCCATTTGTTAATTAAAGTTCCCCTCTCCTGACTGAACCCACAGAGGAAGAGAGAAGGAGTTAGAGAAAACCAGCCTAGTAATAAATACTGCCCAAACGGGTGACATTAAAATAAATCTTCTGTGTAAATCTTGGCATTTTTAAATGACAAACCATCTATCAGCATATACAAGCTGTGCTGTGCTCCACGTTCAAGCTGTGTATGCTTCATGTTGTGAATGCATAAATCTCTTGCTCAGTCATTTCATTTATTGCAGTACATCACCAGTTGTAATGCAACAGCCAAAGTCCCAGAAGTAAAGGTGTTAATTAATTTGCGTATTGATGCAAAAACTTGTATGTTAATGACAGGTTCTCAGAGGTTAAATGATGTTGAATCCCAGGAAGGTGGTCTTCACGTATTTTGGAATGCTTTAATAGCATCATTTCCTGGCTATTTTACTGTTAAACAAGTTCAAAGCTGTGGGCCAAGTCCTTACTCAGGCAAAATTCCCATAGGCCTCAATTAGACATTTTAGCAATGGACAGCCTGTGTCCAGGTTCATGCAGGGTCATAACATTGAGACAGAAGCATGGTGAAGACAGTGCTGATCATCACAAAAGCATCCAGGTTTCATTTTCCGAAGAAAATTCTGCGTTCAGCTACATGGTACACCCACATTGACTGCACTCACAGGTCTGAAGACAAAGCAGAAACTCTGTGCAGCAGAGAACCGGAGTCAGTAATTTTAACACACAAAATATGCTTCCACTACTTTGTTTCCAAAGAAGATGCAATGATGCCATCAGCAAAGCATTTAGGAGAGTGGAAATAGCAGCACCAGACTATCAGTAGGAGTGAAGTATGCTGAGAACATTTTTACACTTTTTAGGGACCAAATCCTTCCTCTGTTTTACTCAGAATGTGCCTTATACTTCAAAATCATCCTGAACTTTTCCCGTACATGCTGGATTCTCTGCCCTTGAATATAGCTTGAGGTGACAACTTCCATTAAGATTTATGCAGATATTTCATATGGCCAGAAGATGGGGATTCCCTCTGTCAGTATGGTATATGAATCTTTGCTCAGGTATGCTGCTGCCTAACCCCCCCCGGGCATGCTGTGTGTTTTTTTTCAGTGGCATTTTTGATTGATGCTGTTCAGCTGGCTCACTCCTCTGGCTGAGCAGAGGAATTGTGTAAAAATGAAGACTTGCTAATATAAATGAAATATTGATGATAAGGGCCCCTTAACAACATTACAATTTATAATCTACAAATACAGTATTCCATGGTTAGTCTAGGTTGTTTGGCAGGAATAACAAAGAATACCTGAAATGCTGTAGCTTATTCTGCAAGGGAGAATGCTGTAGTAATGGGATTCCCTCTGACTGTTCAGCTGCCTTATATATCATCATAGTTTAATGAGTATTTGTAGTACATATTTTCTTAATACGGTTTTCACATCTCATCCCTATCTTTCTTGCTGTGCTTTTTATTTTGGTTACACTTTGTCCTTGGATTTCTTGCTTCTGCAAATTTTCACTGCGGCTTACTGTATTATTGGTGTCTATAAATGATTACTGATATTTTTTGAAACTGCATTTCTGCTGCTATTCCACCATAAGGTACAAATTGAATGATTGACAAAAACTCAATCTCAGAGTCCCCACTTTCCAGATTAGTGCATTGGAATCTAAGACCTTTGCCATTTATCCTTCACTTTTGAATGCTGACCTGGTGATGGAGGATCAATATAATGTATTAATTTGCCAGTGAGTCGAGGCACATCCCTCATCTTGTTTTTGAGCTTTGATCAGTATTGTGATTCTCTCTGCAGGGCTTGTGGCAGAAACAAGTGTGTCCTTGGTAGATGTAGTGAAATTAGCACCAGAACCTAGATTAGTTGTTACACCAACCACTGGGGCAGACCAGGTGAGTAGCTTTGGAATTTCAGCATTTTCAATTTTATTTTCTGTATGTTTTAAAAATGCTCTATTACAGCTTTTTACATATAACTTAATATCATGCATATATTTGTTTGTTTGTTTGTTTGTTTTGTTTTTTGCAAATAAAATGGATGTATTTGTAACTTGGGAGGCACTAGGATTGATTTGAGGAAATCTCTGTTCTTGTAATGGTACAATATCTGAGTGATCACAATATTCAGACCCATAAAAGAGTAAATTTCCCCAATCAGATACATGCAGAGAGGAAAAACTGTCATCTTTCAAGGATAGAAAGTGTTATAACTTGGGTTTAATGCCTGTGCTGGTCATTTGGGTTCTGACTGGTAATATTGACAAAGTAGTCTTTACTTCCAGCAAAGTGCTAGTTGGAAAAATGTTAATGAAGTTATTTTCTCTGTTTAGAAAACATCAGAAATATCCCTGCCTGCCTGATTCTTAATATTGATCAGCAATCATTTATGAAAGGCACACACATCTTCACTGATAACTTCCAGTCTGAACAGCCAAATGGTCGCTAATTAGAAATAATGCTTACTAGAACCAGTTTTCACTACATACATACACATCCTCTAAAGTTCTACAATTCTCCCAAAACAAGAAACTTGTGTTTTGTGGGACCACGTGGCTAAACAACCAATTAGGCAACAGAGCCACATAGTTCATGTAAACCAAGGAACGAACTTGTCTTGGGACTTCCAATTTCCCATTAAAGGCAATTTGTTCCCATTTGGAGTTCCATAAGACTGTAGCTCTATTACAGCTTTTTACATATAACTTAATATCATGCAATAAATGAACAGTATAATGCAGCAAGAATACTGTACAATAGTAACTTAGTTGTAGCTGTCTAGGATCTAAATACCTTCTACTTCCACTAACTTTAATTATGTACAGATTTCTTCTACATTAATTTAGTCTGTTGGCATGTTGCATAATACGTTGGATGCAGCATGTCACTGCCTCAGTGGGTCACAGCTGAGAATGCCATATTCAGGACAAGCTGTTGAGAAATAGGGCAGACTCACTCCAAACTGATGGTTATTCTATCATTAGATTATACCAAGCCAGTAACAAAAGTAAACTTCTGTCTCACCACACTGGTTAACAGGAAGTAAGAAATGCAGTCTCCTTCGGCATCCCAGCCCTTATCTCACCTCCCAGACACTGGACTCTGAGGAGTGGTTATTGAAAACCAATTTCATCACATATAAGGTCCTTCTAATCTCAAGAGATCAGCCACTTAGTGAGGTCAATACATAACTCAGATTTTATCCAATAATCATCATGCTGCTGCCAGTCTTCTAGTAACTAAAATATAAAGCTTTATTAATTAAAAAAGAGCGTTATAATGGTGAATAGATCATATACATACAATAGTGGCAATGTTTTTATATCTGGTTTGTAGCAGTGATATTACAGATTGCTGGCTTGTAAAGTCTCCCTGGTAACTTCCAAAGTATTGGAAGGTCCTCAGTCCATAGTTCAGTATGCTCCTTTTAGTTGTAAATGCACAGTCCAGAGAATCAGAGCAGGAAAGAGACAAAATGGATGTTTTATACCCTTGACCATGGGCCTGAAAATTTTCTATTTCAATCAAAGTTCATAGCCCAGTTTGTGGAAAGTTACTGGCACAAGATGGAGTCAAGGTTCACATGAGCAGATCTCATGTCCTTTCATGGCTTGCTGATTTACAGATGGTAGCTGAGGCTGAGGCATCTGTAGGAAGAGATATCTTGGTGGAATGAGTTTTTTCTGTGGCCCATTGCAACAGTTAAGTGTCTTTAATGGGTCATCAATGCAAAGCTGTCTGGCTTCATTGTAGATTTTACCTGGTGGGTTTTACCCAGGAATACAGCATATATGTATGCCAGTACATAGTCAATATTTATAACTTCAGAAAAAAAGATACATGCATATAATTGGATAATCAGACTTAGCAAATCATAACTTTTCCATTGACACCTTACATGACCTACTGTGTACAAGATTTGTTGCAGTGGCAATATCAAGTTTATGAATGGTCATGCTTCACTCATAGAACATCACACACCATAAATGCAGACATCAAGGCTTTTAAGCTTTTATTTAAACTCTTGGAAACTGCCAAAATTACTAGCTTCCAGCTAAAAGGGTATTGGAGGACCAGACATCAGCAACACTAATAATGGAAATGATTATGCTACATAGTGGCACACTACATACCAGCATATTATTTAATTATTACAGAACTGGAAAATCTTAGTGATCAAACAAGTCCTGATCAGAAATATTAAGCCAGTCAATTTAAAATCAGATGATCTGATCTCATTTGCTCAACTTTGTGATACCTGTTTCCCCTTGTTTTAAAAGATCTGTGTTCTGGTTTTTATAATCCGAGCTGCCAGGAGATGTGGGAAGGGTGGAGAAACACTCTGCCCCAGGAGCAGTCCACAGTGACATCTGACTCAGCCACAATGTCTCTGGAAGGAGTGAGGGACATGGTACCAGTGGGAGTTGCGACACCCTTTGAAAGTGTGTAATATGTGCTCCCTGTGCAGTTTGTCTCTGCTGGCTTCTGTGGAATGTTGAACCACCGGTTCACTTCTTTTGGGCTGTCTAGTGCTCTTCTAGTTTCCGCTTGCAAAGGTGTGCAAGGGAGGGTGAGATCCTTGTTTCCGTGCAGGGGTAGACACTGCCTGGCTCAAAGTATCAACGGTGAATTCTTTTGTCTTTTACGTTTTACTGGCATACAATGTCCTGACAACTAAAAGAATAATTGTCTCTGTCTCCATACTTTTCTCCTCCTTTCTCACTTGGTTAGACCTGGCTATCATTGCACATCTTTTTATTGGTCTTAAATGATATCGAGGCAGTGAATTATTGCTCCTGTTGAAACGGAGTCATTAAAGAGACCATAGCAGCTAAACAACAAGCTGAGGAATGACCATTTCTGCACCCCCATTTAGCATGCCAGCTGCATCCCATTAAAAGCAGTTTCTTTCCATTATAAATTCCACTCAATTTTTTATCTCCTGTTCTATAATTCTACAGTTGATAGTGGATTCCTTGGCTAGTTTCATGGCTGTGAAACTGCAGAAAGCCAGAGGGCCTGTCAGTAATACAGTGGGTTAGCATGAACAGTGCATTGAAAATTCATAATGTGATGAGTCAGTTTGGTTCTGTTTTTTATAGGGCTGCATCTCCCTGTTCATCCAGTTTCATTCTGTTGTGTTTAGTGGCTTTCGCTTAAATGATGGTTCTTTTTATAAACTTCAAAGTCATCCTGAGGTTAAGCTCTGTCTTGCTGAGGAGCTCTTGTAGAGCAGCTTTGCTAACCAATGTGAAGTTGCCCATATCACTTTTGGACTGCAAGAGCCAGATCTTCGCAGTGTACGGAAAGCGGGTCATAGCTAGGGAATCTAGTCTGGCTTCCTTCTTTTGCCAGTATAGGTTGGAAGCAACAAGGACCAGATCACTAGAGGGGGGAAAGCCTGTTTCTGACTGCAATAAAACATTACAGCTTGCTGTATTTGAATCCTGAATGTGAAGGTCTATAAGTACAATAGAATTTCAAGAATCAGAAGTACAACTTTTATCCTAATATGTTCTTTATTATTGTAGGGTCAGATTTGGCCTAGTGCCCCATGTGGATGTGAAGGATGTGGGGAGGGTGCATGGAACCACTTTCCTTTTGTGCTTCCGTGCAGGGGCTTAGGACCATCACCAGTCCTTGCACTCACTTGCCAGCCGTCCCAAAGAGGGGGAGGGGCAGGGACGAGCATGGGCCCTCAACTTGCCTATCCCTCAGCAATGACTTGCAGCCATACTGAGAGCAATAGCTGTGCCCCCCTTCACATTGGGGAACATGATGCCTTCCATAGTTCCTGTTGGGGCAAGGAACTGGGATTGTGCAGGAAAGGCACAATAGAGCTCCAGACACTGAAGTTTCCTTGATTGCAGCCTGACAGAACCACTAGGCATGACAGAAATAACTGGGAGACCTTATAACAATATGTATATGCTAACTGACAGTAAGAAACCATTATTAGAGCATTAAAATGCAGCTCAGTTTTAGAAGTCTATTAAAAACGGAGATGCTTGGCTTATTGGCTAATTAAGCAAAAAGGCATGAGAAAGAATATGATTATCTGGAGATAATCCCATCTCTCGTGTTACAAGGCATGTACCTATGCAATGGTATAAGATTTGGTTTAGTGCTGTTATATAGGATTTTGTGTAGGGAAGGTGCAGGGAAGTGCCTATGCATCCTTAAGTGCATAGGTTTTAATTACATCTATTTAATTCATAAATTTTGCATTGATATAGTCAGCATTGGCTTATATAATACATGAGAGGTGTGTGACAAGGGGGCTGTTTGTATTGTTGACTTTATTAATGTTAGTAGTCGTCTAGTTAGTAGTATTCAGACAGCAAGTATGAAAAATTGGGGCAGAGTGTGGGGAGTAATAGGTGCCCATATAAGAAAAAGCCCCAAATATCAGGACTGTCCCTATAAAATCGGGACAACTGGTCACCCTAAGTAGTACCCAGGGACTGGGTCAGGGCTCCACTGTACAAACAATTGATAAGACGATAGTCCTTGCCCTAGAGAGTTCACAATCTAGGTTTGTAACAGGATGCAACAGACGGATGGGAACGGAGGACAAGGTAATACTGATGTGAGCACTTCTTGCATGGAAGGTAGTAGTCTCAGTCTAGGTTATATTGTATTTTGTTTTAACAATTTGTTATCTTTTGTTTTCTTATTTACGTGCTGAGCCCTGGTAATGTGTGAGATTGGTCAGTAATATATTGATGACAGTTACGTTATAGGCAATTACAAGCTTCATATTATAACACACATAATTACTTTTTTAAAATATCACTCTTTGATACGTTACTTTTTGAGGGTATTACAAAGAGGAAATTTATGTTCCTGAGCTTTTGTGCATCATTGAGTGTTCTTTACTCCATGTGGACATCAATTATAAAAATAAATCCATATAATTGCCTCTGGAAAAATACTCCTGAAATCTCTAAGGAGGAGTTATCCAAGGTAATGTCAATGGAAACCAGCTTCTATGATTTTTTGTCTGTAGTGGTTTCTCAGTTTTCATTTGAACCAGGCAATATATTTAGCTGTGTTCTTTCCTAAATCACATTCATCTCTGGAGGAGCAGCATCTCCATATTTTAGATGTGAGACATTGTCTAACCTTCTGCCTGGATAGAACTGAACCTTTTCATGCATCGACTTGTCTGTTTGTGTTATATGCAGATGTATGAACGGACAAGCAGTCTGTTCCCTGGGTGGATAACATCTTGTATCAAGACTACATATGAAAGAGCTTCAACCATGCCTCCTCAGTGGGTGCAAACTCATTCTACAAGAGTGCAAGCTATGTCAGTAGGGTTCCTCAGTGTCATCTCAATATTGGACATTTGCAGGCCTGCCACCTGGTTGTTGATACATATGTTTACGAACCATGATGCCATTACTGCATTTTCCAGAGCGGATGCAAATGTAGGTAGTGCAGTCCTGCAATCTTTGTTTAGATAGACTCCAAGCCCCACCTCCTGGGGTGGGTACTGCTTGTGAGTTACCTAAGTGGAATACATGGCTGCGTCTACTTGAAGTAGAAGAAATGGTTACTTATTGTCACTGTGGTTCTTTGAGTTGCAGCTGTGTATTCCACAACCCACCCTCTGTCCCCTCTGCATTGGAGTCTCGTTTCCAGGTGTTCTGGGTGAAGGAGCTGAGGGGTGTTGGGTGGTGCTGCCTTGTATTGCTGGAGAGGGGCCATGAGAACAAAGTGCCATTTCCGCCTCCTACGGATACTGCTAAGCAAAATTCTCTGGCTCTGGTGTGCTGGGCACACACACACCCAAGTGGAATACACATCTGCATCACATCTTGAAGAACCACAGTTACAATAAGTAACTGTTTCTTACACCATTTGAAGTTCTGACTCACCATGTGTGTGTTTGCATATAAAATACCAATCACTACAGCCTGCAGTAATAGGGGGCCATGCTGTGCCACTAGTATTTAAACAGAACTCCCCAATGAAGTCAAAAAAGGGGGTAAGAAGAACATCTATAGTTCACAGACTTTGTGCTGGGCCTCTGCACAGGGGGGTGAATTTCACCCAAGTTGTACGGAAATAAAGTAGGAGGGATGGTCTTGATTTTTCCCATGTGCATGCAATATATATTACAGCACTCATTCACACTGATGGCTGGGAGACCCACTGCAGGTGCCTGGATTTTGCAAATTGTCAAGTTAAGTGTTCAAGGCCAATAAAATAGTCAAGGACACTTATCAGTTGACGTGGCTGTTCATTGATTTTGACGCTTTTTAATTTAGAGTGATATATTCACAATACTACTTCATATTGTGCTAGTAAACGTGCAGTAGTATATATTGTAAAAATGTCATGTAGTAAGATGAGAACGCTATCTTAGAAATACAGCAGTCTTAGCAATATAGCGCTCTGCTATTAAATCTTTGCTGAGGAGTCTGGTAAAGCAGCCAGGGTTTATCAAGTTTACAGGTTAGCAAGGCAAGAATTAGTGAGGCATAACTATAGGTGTTTCAGTAAATGAAGGATCTATTTTTGTCTGACATATTGATGCTCCTAATACAGCCCATGAGTGTTTGCTCAGTATTTTGTTTACTCTTCTATATATATATTTAAGAAAAATAGGAGCAATAGCATTCTTCAGGATGTGTAATGGCAATTCCGGTATTTCACAGGTACTGACAGCACTTTGGCACACAACACACCTAAGGCATTCATGTAGTTAGTTAAAATCATATGCTCTGTGATGTGCTATGGGGAGTGTTCAGAAAGTTTCTAGCCTGGCAAAGAGAGTCATAATTTGCATTTGTTTATTTTTCAGTATAGTCCCCCATGACATCAATGCACTTGGTCCAGTGCAGCTGTAGAATAGACAGCTGCAGTTTGGCTATGCTTGTCTAATAGAAGTCCTTGTCTTGCATGCCCAGAAACTCCTCAGTTTCTATGATCACCTCATTATTATCACTGCAACTCTTTCTCCAAAGGTCTTCCTTCAACTTGGGGAACAGGCAGAAATCTGAAGGAGCCAAATATGTTGAATAGGCTGGACGGGGAAGCAGCTGAAAGGCACATTTGGCTGCTGTGGTCATTACGGTCTGGGATGTGTGCGGTGATGCACTGTCCTGGAGAAGCAAAAAGTTTCCTGGAAGTGTATCACACTCTTTTCTGATCAGTGCTGAATATTCTGGGCACCCATTTTACTGAAACCTTTCTCAGGCCCAAGTCTTCATGGTGGCTGGCATGCACTGACCCACTGCAGATGCCCAGTGTCTCAGCTATGTGCCTGACTGTTCATCTTATGTCATTCATCATCATCCTGTGGACTGCATCAACTTTTTCTGGTATTCTGGCCTCTCTAGGGCATCCTGACCTTGGCTCATCCTCAGTGCTGATTCCCTCTTGCTTAAATTCAACAATTCATCAGCCCAGCTTTTTTACTGTGGCATATGGGCATCATTCCCCAGTGTTGCAATCATGTCCTCAGGGATTTTCTTTGGACTCAAGCCTTATAGAGGTACTTGATCACCTCTGTGACTTCATTCTTCTCCATTTTTCAAATCTTCGGTGCTTACTCACTTCAACACATCCTTGTACAAGTTCTGCATGGGGAAAAATGTCTGCTAACAAAGAAACACAAAATATCAGTACTTTGGTCTGTGAAATATATTGGGCCCTACTGTATAATTAAATAGGTCAGGCTAGATGCTTTCTGAATGACTCTCATCATAACAGTACTCTGCAGTTTCATGTCCTTTTTGTCAGTAGATCTCTATCTCCATTTTACAGACAGGAGAAATTGAGGCACAAAGATTAAACAAGTTGCCCAAGGTCATACAGTCAGTCAGCAGTAGAGGTAGGAGTATAACTTAGGTCTCCTGTCTCCTAGTCTGAGCTCTGTCACTGGAAGAGAGTGTTTAAAAACGTTAAAATTTATTAGCTACCATGTATTAAAACACCTATTTTCATGTACTTGACAGGGCTTCAGTGAAGTGTACAATGTATATTCTCACATATCATAGATATATTGTATACTTACCTTGTATATTCCTTAGACTTTCACCTGATATTTTTAATTTAGTATAGAAATTTGTTTTAACTGCTGTTAACCGCTTATTAGTGATGGGTAGAATTAATCAAAGCATACTCCTCTGTTGCTGAATTTGTCCAATAATTCCATTCTTTAGTCAACAATTCTTGACTAAATTCCAGGAACAAAGAGAGAATTTCAATTTGAAACAATTATTCAGGGAGAAGGGGATTCAGAAACTGAAGATTTTGAAATGAATGGAAACACAAGGTCAAAACACCATCACTTTTTTTTGTAGGATGTTAGGTGATAACATCCTACAAAAACTATAAATGTGTTCTCTTGTGAGAAGATGTGATCATATTGGGAGATTGTATTTTATTCCAGTTGAGTATGTATTAAACACTGATGCCATGAGGTACTGTACTTTTAACTGAATAAAGGGCAGTTCTGCTTTTCTGTACTCTCACAAAGCCTATACTTCTACTCATGAAAAACTCAGGGTGAAGCCATTTAGAATTTTGTCTGAGTAAGGATTGCAAACTGGAGTCCTTATTTGGGAAACAGTGACATTCACTTAAATACTGGGTCTTACTTACTGGTTACTACGGATAAGGGTTTCCAGTTATTGGGCCTGATTTATTATGGCTTTATGGCCCCTTAGTGCCAGCAGGCAGGCATAACACCGCCCTGCTGGTGAATAGCATCAGTGCAGGGAGCATGTAGGCTGGAGAGGTTGAGGATGATGCAGTTATTATTAATACTGGGGGAGATGAGGAAGGCCGGGACAAGAGTTTTGGCTGTGTGGCTAGGAAGACCAGGCTGGGTTTTAGAAATGTTACAGAGAAGGATGTGTCAAATTGCGAGAAAACAGTGATTTTAATAGAGATGACTGCTTACTTCCCCTTGACGTAATGAATTATGCTCATCACAAGAACACTGAACTAACATGTACACATTTTATCACACCACTACAATAGAAACTGTCTGAGTGTGTCAAAATTAAAGCTGTAAAAGAACTGTTAGCAAGGGCTATTAAAAACAGAATGAAGAATAGCAGTGCATGTTCTTGAGGACATTTCTAAAAGACTCCTAACACTCTGGTTGGTTCTGGGGGTGGTTTGAAATGCAAAATTTTAAAATCCATGTTTTAAACATACACATGTAACTTTCTCTTTCTTTTAGCTCTACCAGCCCCTTCTGAAAAGATATGCAGAGCTTGAACAAAAGATTCTCTACAGTCCAGTCTCCTCTCATCTGGCTAAATAGCAAGAAAAAGAAAAATCTAACACTAGCCCAAGGAATTGACTGCCAGGGTGAAGATCAGAAGAAAGTTGACAGAATTTACTGCAGTTGTTTAAGGCATTCTTCGTATTTTGTGCCCAAAACAAGGTCTAATACATATTAAAATGTTTTTTTAAAAAGGTGTTTCTGGAAAAGTTGCTGAAAGATTGAAATCTTACTTAAACCACTCAAGTGTTTTTTTGTGTCCACAGCATCATTTTTTTTCTCAGATCCTTTTCAGCATTGTAATTGGTATTTTGTAATAGCTGGGTAACAATAGTCAGGTTAATTCTATCTATCCATTTACCCATGTCTTTCTCTGTCTACATGTCTGTCTCTATCTGTATGTCTACCATGTCTGTCTGTCTGTATCGTATCTATTTTATCTGTCTGTTATATCCATTTATCTGTCATAACTATCTTTCTATAAGTCTCTAATCTGTCTGTTTTTTATACCATGTTATACCATGTTTATTATGGTGCTGCCTTACAGAAATTACGTAAAGTCCACAAAAATCTAAGCACCATTGATTTTGGACTCTCTTTCCTTAACATATAGGTATTTTATGAAGCTGCTAGATTATTCTAAAACAGAAGGTGGTGTATGAATATCCAGGGAATTATGTTCCTCTGAAAGCAGTTATTAATATTAAAGAGAGTACTTCTTAATTTTCCCTTCTTCAGTCCCAGTGATGTTCTGTTTCCATTTGTGGAAATGCCTTAGTGAGTATTATCTGCTATTACAAAGTACTGTGTTGGCTGCATTGGATCAAATCCCACCATAACTTATGCCTGTGCAAGCACACTGAAGGGTTGCCTGGGTATGACTAAGAGGGCAGTTTGGCCCAGTGTCTGAAATGTGAACTCAGTGCTTTTGCCGTTTATCTGTAATTAATGGCTGTGGCCTCTGGCTAAATGTGCTACAGACAATAAAGAGTGTTAAAACAAGTAAAGGATCTGTTGGAAATGAGTCTTCTTGTAGAAAGTGCCTGTATGTGCTTACAGTGTGTTACATCTGGGGGTGCCCAAACGATGTCTAGCTGAGTGCTATATAGTCTGCTTATTAAATGTCTGAAAGTCTGATCTAATTTACAGAAAATGGGGCAGATTGGAACTGCTCATATCGTTGGTATGGGGATGCATCCTATGGGTAGGGAATATAGGTCTTGATCTGAATCACTTCACCTTTCTGTACCTCATCATACCCATCTTTAACATGGGTCTAATACCATTTAGATATTTATAAAAGCTGATTAATGATTGTAGAAGCTCTTTGAAATCCTTGGAGGAAGTACATTCTTATTAGGTGCTGTTACTGGAAGTCCATTTGTATCCAATTGGAGCATCATGGCATTTTGGGATGTATATGTAGGGGCATTGCCAGCAGATCGAGGGACGTGATCGTTCCCCTCTATTCGACATTGGTGAGGCCTCATCTGGAGTACTGTGTCCAGTTTTGGGCCCCACACTACAAGAAGGATGTGGAAAAATTGGAAAGAGTCCAGCGAAGGGCAACAAAAATTATTAGGGAACTGGAACACATGACTTATGAGGAAAGGCTGAGGGAACTGGGATTGTTTAGTCTGTGGAAGAGAAGAATGAGGGGGGATTTGATAGCTGCTTTCAACTACCTGAAAGGGGGTTCCAAAGAGGATGGCTCTAGACTGTTCTCAGTGATAGCTGATGACAGAACAAGGAGTAATGGTCTCAAGTTGCAGTGGAGGAGGTTTAGGTTGAATATTAGGAAAACCTTTTTCACTAGGAGGGTGGTGAAGCACTGGAATTAGTTACGGAGGTGGTAGAATCTCCTTCCTTTGATGTTTTTAAGGTCAGGCTTGACAAAGCCCTGGCTGGGAGGATTTAGTTGGGGATTGGTCCTTCTTTGAGCAGGGGGTTGGACTAGATGACCTCCTGAGGTCCCTTCCAACCCTGATATTCTATGTTAAGCTAGGGACACCCAGAGCATAGGGTTGCATCGCTGATCATCTTGGCTAATAGCCATTGATGGACCTATCCTCCAGAACACCTTGTCCAGTTCGGGGAGAACACTTCATCCAGTTCTGTGGGATCCAAAAAACTCAATTTGACTCTAGCTTGTCACTCAGGTTACTTATTAGGCTTGCAACAGCTCTTTGCCCATTCTGGCCAGGTCCAGACACAGGGGATTTAGGTACAGGGTGATACCACAATTCCAATTCATGTCACACACCATACAGTTTATACACATCTTGCCTAGCTACTAACCTCTGTTCTTCTTGCATGTAAAGACCAATCACTTTGCAGATTGCATACAGACCAATTGCTTTGGAGATTGTGTAAGGCAAGCTTATCATTTCAGGGTATTTCTGCCTATTTAGTTTACTATAAACATACCCACAATAATTAGTTTAGTTAGTTTCTGCTTCCTTATTGTATATAAACATTGTCACAACAGTTAGTTATTTCAGCAATTACTTGCTCAGACTTTGATAGGGAGTGTTCCCCACATTGGCCCTGCAAGAGCTGAATTGGGCCAGCTGGACCCAGTCAGCTAAATTTGGCTGCAAATGGTGGTGGGGGAGCTTTAGGCTGGTGAACCTAATTAGAGAGAAGCTCATCAGTGAGGGACAGGTGAAAAAAAGACAGGAAATTGGAAGCAGAGGGGTGGTAGGGAGAAGTTTGCAATCATGCCAGGGGGGTGTTGCTGAGATCAGTGAAGAGACTGGCAAACCCAGAGGAGTAGTGAGAGCTAGGAGACATGGAAGTGGCTCAGGGAGAAGCAGCCAGGTGCAGGGAATGGACTTTGGCTGCTGTGTAGGGTCCCTGAGCCAGAACCTGGAGGGGGCGCAGGTTCCCCTGCCAGCTGCTGTGGGAGTGCTACTGTGAGGCAGTGAAGTGGAAGACTGCTGGAGAGCAGGAGCTTTGATTGTTGTCTCTCCCTGCTACACACACACACACACACACGCTCTCGCTCTCCCTCCCTCATAGGGGGAAACCACAAGAGTGACCTGGCTGGAGGGTGAGTCACAAAGGGGATTCTATGGTTCCAGGAGCAAGAGAGGGGCTGCAGAGGAGAAACTTTCAGGGTGTAACCTGCTGGAAGGAGTGTCAGCTTGACTGAGCTAATCCCCAGAACTGCCAGGAGGAGGCACTCACAGCAGTGAGTGAACTCCATGAGCAGCTTGTTCAGCAGTTACTTGTTCAGGCGTGTTTTGTCTTAACTTGGGCCTCTCCACGTCAGCGAAGCCTGCCGTATAGTATAGAGCAGCGTACGTGCAGACTGCTTTGCAGTTCCCTAGGCTGAACTTGACCTGTGAGGTACACTTATCACCTCTGTACTGTATGGTGTTTGACAGTAGAGTTTCCAAAAGGAGAAAGAAAGGGGGCTAAAGTGGAACCTTTGCTAAAAGTGGAGGGATAGTTCCCCCAGCTCACTGGCTTTGGGGAATGTTGTTTCCTTCGTGCCCACCACTGCACTGGCTGTTCTGGCTGCACTCAGCTCCGCTCACTGTTATGAGTGTTTGGGCAGGAGGAGTTGGAGGGATTGCTCGAGACTCCCTGTCAGAGAGTGAGGCTCAACAGTGCAGCTCAGCCTCACCCCTACCCTCGCAGTTCCTGTCTCCCACATACTTGATTCAACCAGCTTTTCCCATTTTGATGACACCCATGAATATTTCTGGGTTACATTGTTCCAGCACTGTCTTATTTGAACTACGATTCTTCCACCTCCAATATTTTTATACCAAACCCAATAAACTTAAGCTAAGAGAATCTTCTCAGATAAATACAAACCACTAGATCTTCCTATCAGAGAAAAGCACAAGTCAGAGCATTGAATCTGAATCTCTGTATCCTTTGAGGGCATGTGTCATAAATATAAAGGGAAGGGTAAACCCCTTTGAAATCCCTCCTGGCCAGGGGAAAGCTCCTCTCACCTGTAAAGGGTTAAGAAGCTAAAGGTAACCTCGCTGGCACCTGACCAAAATGACCAATGAGGAGACAAGATACTTTCAAAAGCTGGGAGGAGGGAGAGAAACAAAGACTGTGTGTCTGTCTATATGCTGTTTTCTGCCGGGGATAGACCAGGAATGGAGTCTTAGAACTTTTAGTAAGTAATCTAGCTAGGTATGTGTTAGATTATGATTTCTTTAAATGGCTGAGAAAAGAATTGTGCTGAATAGAATAACTATTTCTGTCTGTGTATCTTTTTTGTAACTTAAGGTTTTGCTTAGAGGGGTTCTCTATGTTTTTGAATCTAATTACCCTGTAAGATATCTACCATCCTGATTTTACAGGGGGGATTTCTTTATTTCTATTTACTTCTATTTTTATTTGTGGGAGTGCTACTGTGAGGCAGTGAAGTGGAAGACTGCTGGAGAGCAGGAGCTTTGATTGTTGTCTCTCCCTGCTACACACACATACACACGCTCTCGCTCTCCCTCCCTCATAGGGGGAAACCACAAGAGTGACCTGGCTGGAGGGAAGCAAAAGTGGATGGGAATCTGGGAGGCAGTGACCATGAGTTGGTTGAGTTCAGAATCCTGACGCAGGGAAGAAAGGTAAGCAGCAGGATACGGACCCTGGACTTCAGGAAAGCAGACTTCGACTCCCTCAGGGAACGGATGGCCAGGATCCCCTGACTTGAAGGGGAAAGGAGTCCAGGAGAGCTGGCTGTATTTCAAGGAATCCCTGTTGAGGTTACAGGGACAAACCATCCCAATGAGTCGAAAGAATAGTAAATATGGCAGGCGACCAGCTTGGCTTAATGGTGAAATCCTAGCGGATCTTAAACATAAAAAAGAAGCTTACAAGAAGTGTAAGGTTGGACATATGACCAGGGAAGAGTATAAAAATATTGCTCGGGCATGTAGGAATGATATCAGGAGGGCCAAATCGCACCTGGAGCTGCAGCTAGCGAGAGATGTCAAGAGTAACAAGAAGGGTTTCTTCAGGTATGTTGGCAACAAGAAGAAAGCCAAGGAAAGTGTGGGCCCCTTACTGAATGAGGGAGGCAACCTAGTGACAGAGGATGTGGAAAAAGCTAATGTACTCAATGCTTTTTTTGCCTCTGTCTTCACTAACAAGGTCAGCTCCCAGACTGCTGCGCTGGGCATCACAAAATGGGGAAGAGATGGCCAGCCCTCTGTGGAGATAGAGGTGGTTAGGGACTATTTAGAAAAGCTGGACGTGCACAAGTCCATGGGGCCGGACGAGTTGCATCCGAGAGTGCTGAAGGAATTGGCGGCTGTGATTGCAGAGCCATTGGCCATTATCTTTGAAAACTCGTGGCGAACCGGGGAAGTCCCGGATGACTGGAAAAAGGCTAATGTAGTGCCAATCTTTAAAAAAGGGAAGAAGGAGGATCCTGGGAACTACAGGCCAGTCAGCCTCACCTCAGTCCCTGGAAAAATCATGGAGCAGGTCCTCAAAGAATCAATCCTGATGCACTTGCATGAGAGGAAAGTGATCAGGAACAGCCAGCATGGATTCACCAAGGGAAGGTCATGCCTGACTAATCTAATTGCCTTTTATGATGAGATTACTGGTTCTGTGGATGAAGGGAAAGCAGTGGATGTATTGTTTCTTGACTTTAGCAAAGCTTTTGACACGGTCTCCCACAGTATTCTTGTCAGCAAGTTAAGGAAGTATGGGCTGGATGAATGCACTATAAGGTGGGTAGAAAGCTGGCTAGATTGTTGGGCTCAACGGATAGTGATCAATGGCTCCATGTCTAGTTGGCAGCCGGTGTCAAGTGGAGTGCCCCAAGGGTCGGTCCTGGGGCCGGTTTTGTTCAATATCTTCATAAATGATCTGGAGGATGGTGTGGATTGCACTCTCAGCAAATTTGCGGATGATACTAAACTGGGAGGAGTGGTAGATACGCTGGAGGGGAGGGATAGGATACAGAGGGACCTAGACAAATTGGAGGATTGGGCCAAAAGAAATCTGATGAGGTTCAATAAGGATAAGTGCAGGGTCCTGCACTTA